GTGCAATTCTATCTGTTATTGCTCTCTTACTATGTCTTTGATCACGAATCCGCAACGGATATCGAAGCGTCAGGCGGATAAAAGTATTGTCTCAGCGATCTAGTCATCTTCTTCTCGGAGTATTACGTGTTATTTTTTCAGTAACGTTCGTATATGGAATTATTTACTTTGTTAAATTCTTCAAATTATGCATGCTGATATTCACACTTGCATTGCTTTGTTGCATTTTTTTGGACAAACCTACTACTGTACCACACATGAACGTGCACGTCTATCTGCCTGTGCCGCCAACATTAACGATCGTTCATTTATCCGTGCAAATTTGGCCCTTCCCCTCGTCGCTTGTGAACAAGTAGAGTGTTTAAAGATATGGACCGAAATTTCCTTCAAATAAACTGAGTTGAAAAAAAAACAGTTTAAGACAATTTGAGATAACCATAGATGGCGTCCGAGTAAAGGTACATACCCACCAACATCACTTTATAGTTTATTACGGGGAATAATTGTGATAGGTCGAAAAATAGAGGAGTTAGGTACAAGCGACCATAGTGGTATTATTAGACACGAAAAAGATTGAGGTGAAACGTCGGAAAAAACGTCAAAATCCACATACGAAATCACTCAATCTGTAGCTGTCTACTGTCTCAGAATAAGATTAGGTTTATGAGGTCCGCTCCAGTTTAATGTCTCAAATTCCACATTTCTGGTAAGAATCCACTGATTTTTACGTATAAGGAGTCTAAATGCGCACGCCAGAATGTAGCCATGGCAAATTAAACTTGAGGTAACAGGTGCCGTTTAGCCCGAGAAGCAGATATACCAATGGTAGAACATGCCAAATTAAACATGATTTGAATGTTTGATTTGACGATAAAAAAAAGCTAGTGTATGAGAATTCCGAACTCATACAATAACTATATTCTTAAACTAGTATACAAATATGACGAGCCTAACTCCTAGACATGACGAACAAATTGTTTTAACTGGCTAATTTAAAAGCGCTCTTTCAGGAATTCCGGATTCTCTGTCAACACAATGGCTTATGCTGATTTGGGACATAAATTGGAACAGGATTTCGAATACAGTAATAATGTTGAACAAGCAGACGTCTACATACGCATGGGTTTGTATCCTCTCTA